TTACATGAGTGTCACCAAGTGGGCCTACAGGCTGGTGAAGAGCAGATAAAATGTACAGCCTAAACACTTCTAACCCCCCTCCCAGCGGGGATATTCTGCTACTTCTCACTGTTTTAACTGCAATGTCATGATTAAAGGTTACTGCTTTTACTCCCACACAGACACAAAAAACAATTCAAGAGGGGTTTAGAATAACATGTCAGATTAGCTACAATACACTGTGTGCTACGCCATGTTGGCTCGTGACCAGTAACAGTCTATGTCACATTAACTTCCACATTAAATCAGTTAAAGGCATAAACACAACCTTTTGTGTCCATTTCAGCCCCCGAAGCAGACACAGATTTTTTTTTATCAAAAACGGAGAAAAGCAAAACTTAAAGCATTTCCTGTTGTCACAAACCTTCACTGCGATTGATCATTTTAAATGTCAGCATTGTGAACTGCACAGCAGAAATGTCTGGATTGGCCTGGATGTATTTTGTTAAACCATTACAATTATAAAACCTCGGCTTGGGAATGACCACAACGACAACAACAAGGTGGAGGATGATGTGTGTTTGTTGCGTGTCATGGGACTCATGATAGTAACAAAGTTCAAACGGAGAAATGCAAATTATGTGGTTAACAGAGTAAGAAGAAGAACTTGGCCTCTGTCACTTCTTGTGAACAAACCAGTGAGACAACGAGAACTCCTTCAGTGCTTCAGCTGCAGCACCTTGATTATAGCTTTTGTGCTATGGCTATGATTTTTCCTTAACAATAGTTTTACTATAGCTGCTAAGCAGAAATATTGGACAAATTTTAAACCAATTAAATTTTATATAGGGAGAGAGAACAACAGGCCGAGGTTTTGGCCTCTTCTTGGAATTTGTTTACAATAAAAATGTAGAATAACCATGACTATCTTTAACCTTCGAGTCCACCTGGTCAAACAAACACTAAACAATTGCTTTTCCGAACAGAAACTCGTTAAACACTTTTAAAGGAGCTGTTAATTAAACAAGACAGAAATAAAGCAGCTAATTTTGTGCAATAATGTTGGAAGCAAAGTTGGAATTAGGATGTGAAGGGTCAGATGAAGGATGTCTGAGCTCTGTCAGCCCATGTCCATCTGGGGTAAGACCTTCCCAGACTACAGCAGAATGAAAAAGAGCTCATGTCATATTTTGGAGCCCAAGCTGTGTTTTCCTGTATCACACCATCAGTATGAAACAGCACCCTGCATCCGACAGAATACCAAGACGTAAACACGTCCGTATACTGCTGCATATTGTAATGCGTCCCTGACATTTCCTCCCAATTATTCACTAATGCTGCATCCACAGCACAATGTCTTTGCATTTATCACTGCAAATTGATGCAATTTATATTCATCTAGCACAACGACACAATACCACAGTATTGGAATGGATTCCGCTCTTCAGTGGGCACCGCTGTGTGGGAATGGAATTGGTGCGATATTTAACAGGCAGCAGCAGCTGAAATAGGAGCAAAGGACAGAAGCTGGAGATTTACAGTGTCCTCCCATTAATGGGGATGCTTTTGTCTGCATAATCAAAACTGTTTTAAAATTTGTCGAACAAGAATGCTGATTGTTGCTTCCTACCAGCAAGGTGAGAAGGAAGAACAATTTTATGTTGGAACAAACACATTTTAATAACAAAACAAATCATACAGCAGCTCTGGTTTCAGGGCTCCTGACCTCTGGTGGTGGGGGTTCTGTTTTTGTCATTATGTCTGTGGTGCTTCTCCACTGGTTTGAAGTGGTTGCTAATTCTGATTAAAACACATTTATTGGCACTGTGGTGGTGCCAGCCAATGTGGTAGAGGATTTTCTGAGCGCTGTCATAATCAAAGTGGTGTGTCAGGCCTTAGCAGAGAGAAACTGAAGCTGAGAAAAGAGGAAGAGCAAAGAAAGGAAGCTCTAAATACTACGACACTGCTGCTGCTCTGACACTGCAACCCCAGATAAATTTGCAAAGTGTGTTTCCATCAAACATGACCCTGCTGTTTGCCAATTATCTCTCCACGAATGCATCATTTCAGTGGCCGGGCTCGACTCCATCTGTCAGCCACTGCCGGTCCTCCTTGCTGAAGGGGGCAGGAGGGATGTAAAAGCATGTCTCCATTGGCAAATAATCACTCCCAGCAAGCATGCAGTCTGCAGGGTCAGAGGTGGAAGCTTCCATGAAAAGACGCCGCCTGGCTGTCAGAGGCAGACCTCAGTCACCTGCACCTCCGAGTGGATAAAAGCCCCTGTCCTTTCCCTCAGCGGAGCTGCTGGTTTCTGCCCGCTGACCAGAGCAGGTGGAGAGCTTAGTGCCTCGGCACTGCTGCAGGCTCGACCGAGTTGTTTCACAGACTGAACAGGTTTCATCCACAAATACCTCAACCCTCTGGGTTACATGATGAATGATCCTTTAAATTACATGTTACAAAACAACAACTTAAAGTCCTTCAGGCAGCTTCCTAAGGACACAATTTACAGACCAACACGCATCACGATATAGAAGTGCTGAACAGAGCTCACAGGGTACTGATGATTTAGAGACATCATGGTATATGGTAAGGCCCTGTTGTTTACTTTTTTTGCACATAATATATTTTTTTCATTGTTTGGAGTGTGGCATACATTGTAAAAATCAGAGCAGCTCACCCTCTGAGGGCCATGAATATCCAGGGCAAACCTCATGAGAAACCATTTAGTTTGTCTTGTGTGAACACTTGACATTTTGTCCTGAGCATGTTGATACATAAACAGCAACAGGGTTCATCCTCTGGGAACAATGAGCATATAAAGATTTGGGTTTTTTTGTCTTTTCATTTTTTAAAATCTGAAGTAGAAATACTGACCAGTTAAAGTTGCTGAAGAAAATGACCAGTCACTTCCATGGAAATCAGTCCAGCAGTAGTGAAAAAAGTATGTTTGAAAGGAAATGTAACTGTGACCAAATTACATGGTGTAACTTTAGGTCTATTAGCAAGTTGCAAATATGTTGATACTAAATAACACACATAAAAAGGGACACAACATGTTAATTTACATTTAAATAAAACCACAATCCTTCCCAATGTAACCAAAGCGTTTTTGTAGCCTAAACCACTGACCTCTTTTGTTGCTCTCCTACAACAACAGCAGTGGCTCAGGAGGTAGAGCAGGTCATCCACTAATCACAAGGCTGTTCGATCGAAACGTCTTTGGGCAAGCCACTGAACTCCGAGCTGCTCTGGATGAGTCAGGCAGCACTTTGTATGGCTGCTCCAGTGCAATCAGTGTGTGTGAATGGGCTAATAGGAGGCAAGGTGCTTTGTTCAGTAAGGTAGAAAAGTGTTATGTAAGTGCAATTTGTTTTTACCATTTTCTAAAAGGTAAGCAACTGAACTGTTCCAGTGGAGGAGGAGTACTGATGTAAGTAAACATCTACAAAGACAAACTAATTGCCATGCAGTAGGATGAGCACCAGTCAAACACATTTTTCACAATCGGTCTTCTAGCTAATTTGTCAAACATACGCAAGTTGCATTTTTTAAAGCTTTATTTCAATTTTGTAACATTTTGTTGTTTACTTTGATTCAAGCATTCTCCTTTAGAGACTGACCTTTATTATTTCTGCTTCCCACTGGATAACTGACAAAGGTTTGGCCATGTGGTAGTGTGCACAGCAAGGGTGTCCAAACATTTTGCAAAGTGAGGTGAAATTGTATGGGGGCCGACCATTCAGCCTGACATTCTTTGAACCATTAACATTAAATGCAAATGAACTATTTTATGACATTTTTATTGCAAATGGCATACATTTCACTTCTTCACACAGAACACAAATAAATCTAAACAGGTTTTTACCAAAACCACTCTGCCTTTCATATTTGAAGACCACATAAAATGAAGAAAAAGACTGTCTGGAAAAAAAACTTTGGGGAAGATTAAACATATTGTAATACTCTCCGTTCCTACACAAGCAGCCAGACGTTCTTGTGGTATCAATGTCCTTTTATTTGTAATCACTTAACAGGCTTCCATGCTGTTGTTTCAGCCACAGCACACGCTAACGAGCTCTTTTGAAACTCCCAACATTCAACACTCCACAACAACAACACCAGCAACTGCCTGCTCTTCCTCGCTCTCTCCTCCCACACCCCTCACAGCGCCCCCCCTCTCACATTCTTTCAGGCAATAACATGTAGAACCATATAACAGGATGCTAGACATCAGAACCATTACAATATATAAGTTCATTTGAAACATATCATTGACTATTAAAAGCTCACTAACAGTTATCTTATCCAGAAGTACTTAACACTGGGGCCATATGAATCCGTGTATCATTCGTTCTTTCGTTTTTCAATTGACCATCAAAAATATCGGATATCAAAAACGAAAAAGTCCGTGTTTCTCATTATTTCAATTTTAGACTCGGATGAAAAATACAAAATGGGAAAATGGGCTGCCGAACCGAATTTAATTTGTCGGGTTTACGAAACCCGGTTTGATTGAAAAGACTCCGTGCATATTCAAAACTGCGGTTTTGATCATCACTAAAAAAAATCAATTCACTGAGATTTTAGAATTTATTCACCTCAGACTAAACAAATAACTTCCCTGCACTAATGTGAAGGGTGATACTGAGATCTCGACTGCAGTAAATAGGCCGGGTCTGGCTCAAAAACAGTGGTTTTGATGCGCAAGATGTCACGCAGGTGAGAGTCACTTAGTCTCGTTCTCACGCGGTTCTTGTTAATGTTCTTAACCAAGAATGTCTTCTCGCACAAGTATGTCGAGCCAAACAAGCTCGGCATTTTCTTAGCAAATGTTCGAACCTCTTGGAACCTGCCTTTATCCAGCTGGCGGTAAAAGCTGACAAGAGGGAGCTGTTGGGTCCGACTGTGACACTCGCATCACGCTGCAGCTCAGCGAGCTCCTGCTGTATTTTAGAAATGGGCTGGGAAGGATCACAAGGGTCACGTGACGAGAGTGGCCACAGGTTTACTGTCATCTTCTGGCAAAATATAAAATAGCTTTTTTGTACATGTGTATTTTATACTGTGGTCAACAGAGCTGGTGGGCCGCATATTATTGATTTTATGACAGAGGTTGTGGGCCAGTGGAAATTTGAACACGGGCCGCAATTGGCCCGTGGGCCGGACTTTGGACATGCCTGGTGCACAGCCTTCTAGGAAGCTCAGTCTTCACAGTGGGAATATGGCAAACAGTTACAAACCAAGGTCCACTTACCAGTTTTCTCTCAGGCCTCTGCCCAGAGCCTTCATCAGTGAGTGGAGTTTATTTGTTTGTCATGAACAAGATATACTGACATGCAGCTGTTAATTCACAGTACATTTAGGCTATGTGTGGCTAAGCCAACAGGCTCGTAAGGTGCTGAAGTATGTCAAATACAGAGCAGATTGTTCCAGCAGGTCAGCGGCTATTGAAGAGGGCCTTTTCTACACTTACATTAGTAAATATGGAAAGATTTAGATCCTTAAAGGGCCCATGGCCCATGCTTTTTCTTGTTTTCTGACTTATCTACAATGTTACAATGGTGAATTATCATCTTAGACATGACCTAAAGCTCAAAAAATGAGGTGTACTGTACATATGTTTTAGTATTTCTAAGCAGAAGCAACTCGGTTTTTACACACTCACAAAACTTTTTTCTAACAAAATTAAGTCTTACGTGATTAGTTTTCTTCAACAGGCATAAAATCCAGGCCATTGTTTTTGTAACATTAGAAAGAATTGTTGTAATGCTGGAGAAGTTACTATGTTTGCACTATGCCAGTTAAAATATGGGGTTTCTCAGTTACCTGCTTTGTTTAGAGTGCTGCACATCTCTTTTCATCGGTACATATACCGTTTTTTACCTATTTCTGGAGGAAAAATTAAAATTAATTAATGCGATTGTGCTGCCCACTTGTGACACAACACCAGCAACAGGACCTGTGCGTGTTCACGAACGGTCCTCTCGTTTTTGGAAGAGGCTCTCTGGTGTTATTGTTCTGAAATAATTACAGACTATTTGTAGTTATGAGGGGTGCCAAGCTAATCTAGAGGTACCGAAGATTAAACGTTATGTGGCTGGATAAGCAGGCCATAGGCTCTTTAACAGCAAGTGGTTTGGTTTGCTGTGTTTAGTTGGACTGAAAAGCTACAGACTCTGGATTCTCATATTTACTGGAAGTTACAAGCTGGAGTGCATCTTCACGAAAGCATTAGCATCCAGTGAACACTTTCACAGTACTAATTATTGACCGCCAAAGGAAACAAAGTGCAGCCATACAACAGAAAGAGAATCAAATAGCTTTTTTTACAATATGCTTCAACAGTCTGACTGGAGGTAAGAAGATCAGCAGCGTTCTGGAAGTCATGCAGCTGATCTGATGTGGTGTTGACTCGAGTGGGTAAGTAGCAGTTCATGGCCATACCATTATCCTGCTGAGAGGCCGCTGGGTGATTATAGCTTGTTGCCCCAGCCACAGGCTGCTGAGCCGCCTTAATACAGCTCTGAAGGTGGGCTAATTGGTCCTTAATTACTGTAGTCGGCCCACTAACATTCAGCGAGAACAGCTGCACCCAGCAAAGAAACAAAAAGGAGGAAGAAAAAAACTGGAGGGATGAATTAGCAACCAGTGACAGAGTGTTTTGTTCTGTAATTGTGAAAAGAAGCAGGAGGACGGAGAACACACTATGGCAGCTCATTGGGACAAATTGCAAAGATGTGAATTATAGATTCCCACAAGCTCTCCCTTGCTTTCCTTCTCTCTGCTCTCATCCTTCAGAAACAACATCGCTCATGAAATGTTAAGAGGACAGATGGCAACAAAAACAGCACAAGGCAGACAGGTGGAAGAGCCGGTGCGAAGACCTCAGCAGTCTGACTATACATACGTACAACATCAGAGTGAGAGAGCTTAGAGTGGCCCTGAACATCAGCTGATAAGACCTGCAGACTGCCAAAGAGGCCACCTTCCCTTCTCTTTATTGCCTGATTACTGCACTCAGACACATTTTATTATGCAGGGCAATTTGTGGGGAAAGTGTTTATTTGGCAGTAGAGTGAAGGCTTTGATGAAAGCTGTGAATCAAAGGAGAGGGGTTGTGGCCTTGGATTTGTTGATCGAGTGTTTTGATTTGTAATTTTAAAATGTGGTGCTTTTCTCCTCACACCATTAAAAAGAAGAAGCTCAGTATGGTCAAAGCACAATGTATATTCTTCATGTGCACAGATTAGATGTAATAATATCTGTATTGCTTATCTGTACCGTGCATGCTGTCAGAAGTGCGAGTGACCAGTCAGGGGTTACAGCATTATGTGTTATTACAGCTCCTATGGTAACCATTTACTTCTGGGAACATGCTGTAGCATTCACTGTAATGAGAAATCCATTTGTGGACAGGGCAACAACAAAGCCCTTATTTACCACCAGCACAGTTTGAATCAACTGTATGTACTGTTCTCCAGTGGCAGCCCCCCCCAGTCACTTACCTCATATGAACTCCACTATATTATTTTTGACAAGTCTGTCTTTGAACCGCATTAAAGACTTCCCAGATGATTCTTACAAATGTAAAATTACATCAGCCCGTCCCCTGGCTGCTGGCACTGTGATGTATGCTGATCACTGCCTTCTCAAGAGCATCTTCTTTCGGATTAGAGGTGCCACTGTTCATAAACTCATCAACGCAGAGTGAGCACTGAGCCTCTCAAAGATAATGACAATGTGTCGACAATAACACTGAGGATTAGAACAGGACTGTGAGAGAGGGGAGGGGGGCTTCAGAAGCCAAGAAGGAAGAAGGTGAAAAAAGAAAGATAATAACAAATGCATAAGGCAGTTTGAGTCTGTGTGATGTTGTGGATTCCACACAGGTTAATGCAGTAGAATGACGGACAGATCTGATTCTACCCCAAGATGATGCAGGTGCTGCTGTGATGATGAAGATGGAATGAGGGGTCAGCGATTCAGTGACTCAACCCAGATCATTTGGTCAAAAGTGACAGGGTTCTCTGCAGGACTAATGATGTTATTAATATCCACAGTGTGAAATTCAGAGCAGTCGAGTTGGAAGCATCAGCACTCTGCTGCGATCACATGAAACACAGGACGCAGAGCGGATCTGTCAAGGAAAAGAAAGGTCCTGTGATCTAATGATGAAGGTGTCAGTCCAAATGAACAATATCTTTCTGCCAGATTTACCTTAAACTTTCCCAACGGGATGAACCCTGTTGACCTTTCCTTCAAAACGCAATATAAATTTTTACCTCCATTACTACTGTCCAAATCATCTTGAGGGCTTGTGTGACAAACACTTAAAGTTTCCTTATGCTGTCTAAAATGTGTTGCCATGCATGTCAGTTACACATGTGAGGTGTCCTTCTGTGCAGGTTGGAGTAGAGCTAAATAATCAGTTCCCACGGTGGAGTGTGATGAATTTTCTGACCTCTGGCTTTTAGTCCTGTGTTAACATGCCCGGCACCGGACATCTCTGCAGCCACCAAGCATCATGGGCTGTACAAGCCTCAAATGGCTTGACAAAAACCTTGTTCATGCTGTTTTAATATGTTTTATCAGTGAGAATTTAACAAATGTCTTGATTGGTTCTTGATGTCCTGTTTGGAGGCTTTTATCTTGTCTTACCCGCCTCAGCTTTACACTACCCATTAGTCACGTGTGCCTAGCTAACTCTTGCTATTGGTGGCAGGTTGTATTTTGCCATGAGCAGTAGTCTCCAGCCATTCTATCAGCGTCTGAATGTGTGTGAGAGTTTGCCTCTCACTCTCTTGCTTTATTTCTGCCTTCCTCTTCTGACCTCTGAATAGTTTTAGATTGTGATTACTTGATTTCAGACCCTTTTTGCCTGTGTGGTGGGCAGCCTTGTTGTCTCTGCCTAATTCTTGCCCTGAGTATTGGATTGTGGACATATTGTTTTGTTTCTTGTGTGTGTGTTTGGTCTGAATTTAGTTGCCTATCTTTGTTGTGCAGGATGCATTTTGCCTCTGTTTGTGTGCTTGTGCTACTTGCTTACTCACCTGGTTACCTATCTGCTCTGCCTGCCCTCTGAAAGGGAAAGTCGCATACCCTTCTGGTTACCTAATTGCAGTATCCATCATCTTCTGGTTACACCACTATCTTCTCAGCCTCCTCACTGCTATCTCCACAACTCAGAGGTCTCTTCAGTTCTGTGCTTCTGCCACTAACTCACCTGTTTGCCTCCTGAGTGTGTGTTTAACTGCAGAGAACCTCCTGTAAGGAACCATCCAGTACCTGCATAGTCCCCTTGTCTCTAGGTTACATTGCCATTTTCTCTGCTACCCACTGCTGTCTCTCATCTGTGCTCATCTGTGATTAAAGGAGACTTATCAGCCTGACCGTCAGTGAAGCTTCCTTGTTTCTGCACCACTCTAAACCCATGGAGGGGCAATCCCTACAATAAATCTTTTCACTTTTCAGCCATATTTCTGCATTTAGGTCCTGTGTTATTTATAAACCTGACAGACATTTGTTACAGTATTTACAGTTGGTTTACTACGTCATGATGAATGATCTGAGATTAGGCCACAAAGGATTTGGGCTTTATCAGTCAGGGTTGGTCTCAGGCAGAAATGGTAAGTGTATGCTATATTAGTTTGAACTATGCAACCTATTCCAAACCCCTAGTGCTGGGAGCAGTCAATAAGGATGTCAGGGTCAGCAGCAAGCTCTGTTTGTGTGACCAAGTTTTTTATTGATCTATTTTTCAAATTCAGAAGCTATTCTGCTGTGGGTCAGGAATGATTTAGCCTTGGTCCGCCCCCAGTGGTTTTAATAATCTTCTGAGTAGACTCAAAGTTCTCAGGTATGCATCTCAACAATGCTGCCTGTCTATGCATGGCAAAACCAAGTATATCACATTATAAGGGGCAGATGTTTGATGTTTGCACCAGTGTGTCTGCTTATTGGTTGCTTGGGGCCCAATACTGGCTGGACCATGCACATCAGTTGTCTTCTCCCTAATGGCTCTGATCCAGTGGAGCACAAGATATAGGGTTACTTGTCAATATTAGCATAATGGAAACGTCACTGAGCTATGTGGTTATCATATTGTGGTTGTTACAAATAGGAAGGGTTATTATGCTTTGCATTGTGCATGCTGCTCATTAGTTTTATGTCATGTTTTTCTGTTGTTTTAGTCATGATTTACACTACTCCCACTTACCTTGTGTATGAAGTGTGTTAAACAAATGAGGTTGCTTATTGTCAAAATGACAAACCCCACTACACCTCGCTGAGTTATTACTTTAAAAATACTTTCTATATGTTGACACCTGGGGAGTCAATCATGTCTCTTTATGCAGCAGCTGGATGGATGTTTTTGTTGTGATTACCTACAGACTAATATACCATA